GAATCCGTGCCGCTTCCCAAAAAGGGATTGATCAACGGCAAACGCTTTATCCTTTTATCCCTAACTTATGGTATGATGAGCTCCATGGGGATACTATCCGGCAGGTCACATGGGCTGCCATCGTCCCACGAGCAACCGTCCCTGGTAGCACATAGGTCTACTGGCGAATGTGTTTCAAGACATCGTACAAAAAATGTCAGCTGCAGGTAGGGGTCACTTCAATCAAAAGAAGCTGGATCCAAGATTTCTTCATGACAGAATTTTGAAAAGGAGAGGGGACTGTGCTCCCGTTCACCATGTCTCTTTAGGAGCTTGCGTGAGTTCATTTGTAGAGCAGCAGAGTAGAGAAAAAGACACAACACCATTTAAGCCTATGGAAACTGCGGCAAACTCCTGATTACTCGTTATTCATTCATTTATTCACTTTCATACTATTAGTATTACTTTCGAACTATTATTTCTTATTATTAGCATATTACTTTGTATCACTATACATATTATTGGAGTATGTTATGTAAAAAAAAAGTTATTACATTTGCATCCACAATCCATTTGCATTTCATGAAGACAAGTGAAAAATTACTTGGAATATTAGGTTAAAATATTTAATCGATCCATTCACAGTAACCCAACAATACTTCCAAGCAAAGTCCTAATAGTGTACTGTGCAAACAGTTTATCTATGACTGCATACAAAAACAAGCACGCGCATTATATGGCGTAGGAACCTTTGAGAGATTATTTTGTGTCAGTTAGCGGGCAAACTAACATGAAGGCGCACCTCACGGTTGACTAGTTCTGGTCTCTGCGCGTGGAAACTGATGTAGAAATCAAAGAGAACCCAAAGGGAAGGAAAAAAGCTTTAAAAAAAAAACAGTACAAAACCCTCGAACCAGGGTCCCCTTCCTGCGAGGTGAGTGTTGCAATGGAGCAGAGACATAGCAGGATAAGGAAAGAGCGGATCAGAGAGCATAGCAAGAAATGAGCATTCCCCCCCACCTCCCATCGTTTTGGAGCGTGACCTAGTAACTGAGATACAAGCCCAGAACACTTCTCACTTACTTTTGTGCCAAAGAAACTGCACAACCTTGTCACTTGCGAGAAGGTTTGCGCTACTCGCGAAAGACATTCGTCAAAGAGGTTTCATTGTGGAATGGGTCTTACATGGCTGATTGATTCTTGCAGATTTGAGCAATGGACCCAAAAATCAAGTGAAGTGCTCACCTATGTAGTTTCTGAGAAGAAAAACTAACCTAAGAAGCAACTTACGATTAGATTGTGCGGCTACGTTCAAGTACATGTTGGGCCGCACAATTTCACTTTCCAGCATTCTTTTTTTTTGAGGGCGACGAAATCAAAATGAGGGTTCTTTTTTTTGAGAGCGACGAAATCAAAATGAGGGTCTTTTGCAGCTTCTTCTACTGGCAACTTGACTACTGGAAACGTCGTGGAATCCCCGGTCCACCAGGGAACGCTTTTCTTGGGAAACATGTATGATCTCAATGATGTAAAGAAGCCGATTGCCTTTGTGTTACAAGAATGGACTAAGGTAGGTCAACTGGTGTCATGGCATTCATGTGAATTTGTTTGTAATTGATAATAAGTACAGACGTATGGCGCAGTCTACGGTATTCAAGAGGGACTGAGACGAACGTTAGTTGTAAGCGATGTTGGAATGATTCGCGACTTATTCATGAAACAATACGACTACTTTTACGGCCGTAAGGTACGTGTTTTCTGAAAGATACTTTCACTCCCTTCCAGGGTCAAGCGTGCGTTGAGGAATCCTCGACACGTCACAGGGGGGGGGGGTCGTATTGGCCCGCTGGGAGGAAGAGATCGGGCCGGATTGATGCAGTAGGATCATCACCGTCGGAGGACAAACATCAAGGATCGATCGATGCAGGGCCAGAGGATTTCCAATAACAATGTTATTCCGCCCACACAAAATCTTCGTGATTCAGAGGTGTCCGCTAGCAATTCTTAGTTACTTCAGTGTTTTATCACCACACAAGTTAAAGAATCCGAAATTCGCACGTTTTCCAAGGGATATTTTATCTTTCAAGTGAGTCCTCGAATCTGAAGGGATGTGAAGCACACGGCGCATCCCAGAGTGGGCCCAGTTGGTTGCGCGCGCTTCAACTACGGCTCTCTGGAGAAAGAATCTCAATTCAGG